CCCGTATTTTGCCCAAAACACGCGTTTTGGTTAAGTTTCAGCGCACCCAAAGCTCCTCTCGGCAGTGAAATTACGGGCATGGGAGGGGAAATTACGGTCGTAATTCTCCTGCCCGTAATTCTTTCTCCACCCCTGTTCAAAGCTTCGTTTCTCCCTCGTCCGGACTCCGAATCAGTCGCCGTTTGAACCCAGACACTCGTAGTCTCGTCCTCTTTCTTTTCATAACAAAAATTTCATGATTCTTTGTCCATAAAGTGAGGTAGAAATCCATTCTTCTTCAGATCATGCTCGTGTTTCTTCTCCCTAATCGCCAATTGATCTCCGATTGACTTGAAACTTGCGCCTACGCTTCACTTTATGTGCTAGGGCCTGAAATGTGACAAAGGAACACAACCTAGCGTAAAATAGGCCAAAGAAGCGATAATGCAAGCTTAAACGATCAAGAAACAAAGGGGAGAACATGTGCAAAAATCGAGTCATCAGTATCCCAATCGGTATTATCGAATACAAAATAAATTACCTTTGTAATTAATAATTAAATATATAAATTAGATTTTATTGTTTAATTTAGGGCAAAGAGACTAAACAAAGAGTTTTGAGTTGCCTAGAGCTAACATCTCAAGTTCTTGTAATTGTTTATATTTAATTTGATGAATTTGAAGTTGAAAGACAACTAATACTAGTGTGAAATAGTGATGTAATGATCTATCTATAATTAAATGACACTCTTGGTGGTTGAGGATCGCATAGTAGTGTATGAGAGAGTCTAGTTGAGAGGATAAAATACACACTAGCTTATATTTCGGTATTGATCGGTATTTCGGTATATACCGATCCCAATCCCTAATACCGAATAAAAATTGAAATTCAATCCCAATCCCACGAAATAATACGTGTATTCGGTAATACCAAATATAGACAAATTTGGTACGGTATTCGGTATATCCCAAATACCGGTACCAAACTTCCAGCCCTACAAGGGATAACCCGATTGGAGCCCTTCTTGAGGAACTTGTGCATTGCTTAGCGGTCCATGGTGGGCTTAATGTGCGATTTATAGGACAGTGTAGTAATAGGGTAGCCCATTTGGTGGCTAGAAAGACATTTCAATTGTACCCGACTACGAGTAGCTTCTTTAATTTTATGGCCTAGTTAAATTCCAGATGTAATTATCTATTTTTATGATCAATATATATGAGTATTTTTTGTAAAAAAAATTAACGATTAAATCACAATCATGCCTCTAAAATACCATTTCGCTAAATCGTTATGTCCAGCCTTCATTACAATTTCACGGACTACGAAATTTCAACAATATATATGGTGACTTCTGATAACGATGTAATTGCACATGTTTGCGCCCCTAGTTCTTATCCATTTGAGGGGCATATTCGTGTGTTGTGGCCTATTTTATGCTAGGTTGTGTTCCTTTGTCCCATTTCAGGTCCTAGCACATAAAGTGAAGCATAGGCGCAAGTTTCAAGTCAATCAGAGATCAATTGACGATTCGAGAGAGGAAACTCGGGCATGACCTGAAGAAGAATGGATTTCTACCTCACTTTATGGACAAAGAAGCATGCAAGCTTGTTATGAAACGAAAGAGGACGAGACTACGAGCGTCTGGGATCAAACGGCGACTGATTCGGAGTCCGGACGAGGGAGAAACGAAGCATTAAACAGAGGCTGAGCAAGCTGCACGGGCAGAACAGGGAGGCTGCACGGCCGTGCACATGAGCAATATGGCCGTGCGCCTTATGCCGAGGACACGCACGGGCAACCCCTGAAGCTCGCACGGCCGTGCACCCTGGCCGTGCGAGAGGGATGAAGTTCGACTAAATGACACGCTGCGTTTTGAGTTGCACGGCCAGAATGGTGATATGCACGGCCGTGCACCCTGGCCGTGCGAGTCGGGATTTCCTGGTTTTAAGCCAAATTCCGAACCAAAGAAGAGGAGAGCTGGGTTTTGGATCCCAAACACCCAAGGGACGAACCAAAGAGAGAGAGGGCGATTTGAGGGCATTCTTGGAGTGGAATTGGAGGATTTCTCCGCCTTGGAAGATCGAGGAACAAGCCCGGACTTGAAGACTGATCATCTGAAGATTCTTACTGCAGTCTCTCTCTTCTCTATGGAGTAACTTCCCTTCACTTAGGTTTTGAGGAACCCTAGCTATGTTTGTTTGATTGGATGATTGTATGAGTACTCTGACTGGATAATCTTGAGTTCATATTCAATCTATGCATGTTTTCATGATTCAATTCTGCTTTAGTCGAGATTATTGATTCTGCTTTGATTCTATGAGAGGAAATACCTTATTAGGTCAATAGAGCACCATAGATTGATAGTAGTGGATCGATTGCTTTAGTCGAGGGTTGATTCACTGCTTTGTATCGATTGAGAACCTCTTTCGATAGAGGGAGTCTAGTTCAGAACGCCTTGATCAGTTGTTCTGGAGAAGGATACGTCCCTCTAGGCAATTGACTCAAGAGGGCCTTGTTCCTTTAGTCGAGACTCAAGGTCTAGTCAAGGATTCTCCGCATTGTGAATGAAAGTGAAACAGGTTAGAGATCATCAATCATTAATCTGGCTAGTGGCTAGGGGGAATCATACCTAAGTGAGTTCCCAACCTGTAATTAGATTAACTTTAACTGTAGTTTGCTAGAGTAGTTTTAGTTCTTTCATCTTAATCTGGTTTGCTAAATAATAAACTGAAGTTGAGTAATAGTAACTCTAGAGACCCGTGGATTCGATATTTATCACTTGAGCCACTATACTGCAGTCCCTTTCATTGGTTACACTTGGCCTTTGTTAGGAGTTGTGTTTTAGAGAATCAAGTTTTTGGCGCCGTTGCCGGGGAACTTTCTAGAGTATTAGGAAAGGCAGAAGTTTGTTACTTTAGCGTTTTTCGTTTCTTTTCTTTTCCACCCTTGCTTTTCACTTGGGTGTTTTTGTTTTTGTTGGTGCAGATCTGAATCATGGATCCTAATGGCTTCTCCAATCATTCAGGGTATCCACCACCATCTGGGTGGTATTACCCCGAGACTCCGTGGAGCAATCAAGGCGGAGAAGACTATGGATTCGGGTTCCAGCACCAACCCCCTTACTACGGAGAACAACCGGACCCCTGGGCATATCAAGAACAACCTCATTATCAAGAAGAATTTCTCCCACAACCAGAAGGGCCATCGGCGCTGGAGTTACTCATGGAGCAGTTTGCTCGAGACTGTGAGAGAACATGCTCCAGGATGGATCAGTGTGTCCAGGCCTATCGTGAAACAGATGAGATCCTCTTGAGCCTTAAGAAGAGCGTCGATGATCTTGAGCGATCTTGGGCCCAACCTGCTCCAGATCACCCTTCTGCTACCATACAAGAGGAGGAGGAGGAAGAAGAAGGCTACAAGGGCATTGTGGAACACATTGAAGTTGTCACGGAGAGCTCCCGTGATGATCATGATCAGGCGTGTCATGTCGTAGCCGACCACACCTTCCCACACCCCAAACTGAGCTTTGAAGAGGCGGGCATGAGTGAGGAGATGCAAGAAGATCTCATGAAAGAAATTGCTTGGCAACTTGCTCTCCAATCCGTGCTAGAAGAAGAAGAGCAAGAAAGGGTGCAGAAAGAAGTTGTGGAGGATGACGAAAGTGAAGCTGGAGGAGTTCTTGATCATTTCCCAGGGGTGATACCACATGAAGAAGGAAGGGAGGTTGAAGAAGCAATTGGCGTCCAGGCTGCGGACGAAGTTGAGGTGGAAGAGGCTTGCACCGGCCATGAGTTACAGGTGATATCTCCACCAAACTTCGAGGAACTGCTTAGCAAGGACCCATTTGCAGTGTCTCTTTGCCAGACCAAGGCCACATCGACATCGGTCCCTCTTGGTGGACGCGATGGTGGTCAATCGATGCTGTCATATCTGGTTTGGGGCAATGAGACGAGAGAAGAGAAGAAGAGGTCTCGAGGGTGGAGACTTCATCTGCATCAAGTACATGAGCCTTCATCACCTGCCACATCACATGCTCATGACTTGAGACTCCACCTCATCGACGAGAACCTCAACTTCAAGGAGGTTCTAGCATGGACCAAAACTTAGGAGCCATCGTCCGGCTCATGACGTGAAAGAAGCGCTTGTTGGGAGGCAACCCAACCAGTCGGTTTGCATCTCTTTCTCTATTTCTCCTCGGTTGAGTCAGTTTTTTTTTATATTTGATTTTAGAGTAAATAACTCAACCTTTGTGAGATTTTGTGTGGTGTTTGTGTTCTGATTACTCTCTCTTTCTGGAATGCACCGCCTGACCCGTTCATCATCATTCACCCTTGATCTGGTAACTTCGTTCTACCCTCCTTATCTTTCCTCCATTGAGGACAATGTCGTGCTTAAGTGTGGGGGGATGTTCGATTATGTATGCGGGTGAATGTTTGGCCGTTTGTGTGCTTGGAGCCTAGTCCACTGTCCAAATTTTTAAATTTGAGGGCTCCAAGTACGTGTTTCCTTGCAATTGCCTGCTCAGTATGCTTTGAATTGACAGTCTTTATAGTAATATGCAACCTAGGGAGGTAGTGTAGCACTATGGAGGATGTTGATGCATTTAAGAAGTCTCATTTCTTCTTCATATTGAGTTGGTTGATTGAGTGAATTAGTGATCTTAGGACCCTTGAATTGTGTGGTGTTGTGGATTCTCTACCTGTCATGGACTCTTGTATCATGTTTTGAGTTTAACAGGTGCTCGAAAATGTGCTTCAAAATAACGTCTCCCGTGCGAATAGGGCGAAAGTGTGTAAGGGGAGACGGGAATCCGTTCCCAATTTCCACCTACTACCTCCAGCCCCCTTACATGTCTTTCCCCCGCACGAGGCTCGAGACATCCGCTCCTGGCATGGCCGGTAAGAGCAGGTTGGGACCCTTGAAAAAGAAAAAAGAAAAGAAAAATAACAGAAAACAAGCAAAATAGAAAGAAAAGGGGTTCCAACCATCCTTAAGCAGAAAATAGAGCACTTTGAAAAATGTGAGTCCATGATCTTTTGTTTTTGAGAATCTCTTCATCCACAATTCATTTGTCCTCTGTTCACTGTTTGCCATGATGCCGACTGACCGAAGAAGCTATGAGATGACTTGTGCGTCGGTTGACCTCGTAAGCTGCTAAATGATCTAGGAAGTCCTCTACCTACGATCTAGGTTGTTTGTTGCTATAGAGGTCTGGAGAGTTGCATTGATTTGAGTTAGGTTTGCTTGGGGACAAGCAAACGGTTAAGTGTGGGGGAGTTTGATAACGATGTAATTGCACATGTTTGCGCCCCTAGTTCTTATCCGTTTGAGGGGCATATTCGTGTGTTGTGGCCTATTTTATGCTAGGTTGTGTTCCTTTGTCCCATTTCAGGTCCTAGCACATAAAGTGAAGCATAGGCGCAAGTTTCAAGTCAATCAGAGATCAATTGACGATTCGAGAGAGGAAACTCGGGCATGACCTGAAGAAGAATGGATTTCTACCTCACTTTATGGACAAAGAAGCATGCAAGCTTGTTATGAAACGAAAGAGGACGAGACTACGAGCGTCTGGGATCAAACGGCGACTGATTCGGAGTCCGGACGAGGGAGAAACGAAGCATTAAACAGAGGCTGAGCAAGCTGCACGGGCAGAACAGGGAGGCTGCACGGCCGTGCACATGAGCAATATGGCCGTGCGCCTTATGCCGAGGACACGCACGGGCAACCCCTGAAGCTCGCACGGCCGTGCACCCTGGCCGTGCGAGAGGGATGAAGTTCGACTAAATGACACGCTGCGTTTTGAGTTGCACGGCCAGAATGGTGATATGCACGGCCGTGCACCCTGGCCGTGCGAGTCGGGATTTCCTGGTTTTAAGCCAAATTCCGAACCAAAGAAGAGGAGAGCTGGGTTTTGGATCCCAAACACCCAAGGGACGAACCAAAGAGAGAGAGGGCGATTTGAGGGCATTCTTGGAGTGGAATTGGAGGATTTCTCCGCCTTGGAAGATCGAGGAACAAGCCCGGACTTGAAGACTGATCATCTGAAGATTCTTACTGCAGTCTCTCTCTTCTCTATGGAGTAACTTCCCTTCACTTAGGTTTTGAGGAACCCTAGCTATGTTTGTTTGATTGGATGATTGTATGAGTACTCTGACTGGATAATCTTGAGTTCATATTCAATCTATGCATGTTTTCATGATTCAATTCTGCTTTAGTCGAGATTATTGATTCTGCTTTGATTCTATGAGAGGAAATACCTTATTAGGTCAATAGAGCACCATAGATTGATAGTAGTGGATCGATTGCTTTAGTCGAGGGTTGATTCACTGCTTTGTATCGATTGAGAACCTCTTTCGATAGAGGGAGTCTAGTTCAGAACGCCTTGATCAGTTGTTCTGGAGAAGGATACGTCCCTCTAGGCAATTGACTCAAGAGGGCCTTGTTCCTTTAGTCGAGACTCAAGGTCTAGTCAAGGATTCTCCGCATTGTGAATGAAAGTGAAACAGGTTAGAGATCATCAATCATTAATCTGGCTAGTGGCTAGGGGGAATCATACCTAAGTGAGTTCCCAACCTGTAATTAGATTAACTTTAACTGTAGTTTGCTAGAGTAGTTTTAGTTCTTTCATCTTAATCTGGTTTGCTAAATAATAAACTGAAGTTGAGTAATAGTAACTCTAGAGACCCGTGGATTCGATATTTATCACTTGAGCCACTATACTGCAGTCCCTTTCATTGGTTACACTTGGCCTTTGTTAGGAGTTGTGTTTTAGCGAATCAACTTCTACGGTGCCCAGGGGAAAATCCGGGTACGGGTACCTTAGCCGATCTTAACCATTCGTTTTCAATCTCCACGGCTCACGTTTGTTAAACCTTCCTGCGCCACTAAATAACTAAACAAATTAAAAAAAAGGCTCCTATCACGTTAAGTTTTTTTTTCATCCTAGTCCAACTAACTGCACCGATTAAATTAAATGGATTAAGACTGCAAACCCAATTGGGTAGACCCACTGCCGCCCTAACCAATTTCCAGTCTCCCTAACCAATTACACGATCCCTCTCTCATCTTGGAGGGACGCCCCTTCATAGTTCCAAGAGAAGCTCCCCATCCAATTTGAACTCCCCAACTTAATCATCTTTTTGAATCCCAATTACTTGCATCCACATTCGACGTAGATTGAATTTTCCAATTTATTTTGTCTTGTTTCTTCTTCGCCATTTTATTTCCCCTCGCCTATCTCTTTCTAACACGATTACGGCGACCATGTCTATTATTGTGTTCATCAAACTTTTCATTTGCAAAAGAACCCTTGAAAGCGGTTTGCTAACCCTAGGGTTCATGTCGCTAGTGCTTTGTCATCTTGTCTTAGCGTTATTGTGATTTTCTCGAACCTTATATCTCTCTGTGAAATTTAGGTTTCCTGATATGTAGTGTTCGTCTCGCCCAGAGGATTGAGGAAGAAGACGAAGAACACATAATTTGATTCGAATCGGATGGAGAGGTCTCCTTAGTTTGTGTTTATGTATTAACAGTGCGTTTAGGAGTAATTCTAGTTGGACTGGGTCTGATCATTGATTTTTGCAGGCTTTTAAATAACATTCAAACGTGGGCTTGTAACATGACCCATGCAATATTCAAAAGTGGGCCTGGAACGTGCGAGCCCATTAGTTTTCTCCTGCCGTATCAATTCGTGCGCCAACCCTAGTTTAACTAGCTTTACTTACCCTAGTTTAACCTATACGAGTTACCGTCATCATTACTACATATCTTCCGATATCTTCTAACTCTTGACATTCCAGACTCAACCGTCTCCATCACACTCACGTCTCCACACTCAACCCCCACGATCACTTTTTCTTACACCTACATTCTCTCTTTCCTCCATCTTCACCTTCCCTTGTTCCTTCTTCCTCCAGACTCCATGGCAAACAAAGGTAAATCGTTTGCGGAAATGGGGGTACTATCTCTATCAAATGAAGACTGCCGATCCACCGCAAGTCTCGGTGACTATCTTTCATTTACAAGCAAAACAGCAATTGTGGCCGAGTACGAGTTCATCCACCTAAGTCCTTTCCCTCAAGAAGTGAAGAAGTTAATAAAAAATCTTGGCTGGGAAAAGTTCTTTGATCTCCGGAGTCGAGGAAGCACCAGTTACTGCCCGCATGTGGTGAGGAAGTTCTACCACAATTTAGAGCTTTCTGGTCCCTGTGATTCTCATCTCGTGTCGATCTTCCTGGGACATAGAGTCTGCTTCCAGCCTCATCAGTTTGCTGAGATCCTCGATCTCCCCGCCACAGGACACCCCATTGATAGCAGAAGCGATCTTGGGCGGCTGTACGATTTTGAGTTTGAAGTTGAACTGGCGAAACTGACGAAGGGGCGCATCCATGCTTCTTTCCTCCCAGATCCTCTTCGATTCCTCCACTGGATGATCGTCAACTGCTTCATGCCAAGGTACCGTGGTCATTCGATTATTCGTAAACTTGACTTGTTTATCCTTGTGCAAGCTCAAAGAGGTGTTCCTATTAACCTCGCATCTCTCATGTGCCTGAACATGGTTGAGGCTGCTCCTAGAGGGGAAAACTGGTACACTGCCTTTCCATATGCCACCTTTCTTGAAAGGGTTGGGATGGATATGGGGTTTTATGTTAAGGAGGACCAGTGCGCTTATTTTCCAGTGTACCGTATCGCCGAATTGACCAATACTTTTATTGACCTTCGGCATACGGAGCATGAAGAGACCCCTGAGGCATCCTCAAGCAAACGTCCTCGGCTTACATGAGAGTCGATTGATGCAGGGCGGGGTGGAGCGTTGGAGCAACAAAGGGGCCAGCAATGGATGTCTTCTGTTAAGAAGTTTACTAAGGCTTTGTTGGATTTTTTCCAGTATTTTGTCTTTTCCTTAATTCTCCAGCACTCAAAACTGTTAGGTACTGAGGGGAGCCAGTACATCATCTGACTAGGAAAGTCTCCCATTTTTTTAATTGTCCAGACCAATATTTTTCTATGCATACAGTATTTTGTGAATTTGCCATGGCTAATTTCCCTAAGACAGGTGACGAGATGCAGTAATGGTCATCTCCAATGGTGCAATTTTTGTGACTTGCAAGATGATGAGGCAAGGAGGTGCAACTGCATCCTACACTTGCTATGATGTGAGAAGCTATTGCAAGGGTGAAAATTTGCTTGCAATTGAAATTGGCCCACGAGTGGGGACTATTGATGAAATTGCAATGTTTTCTCAAAAATATAGAAGTGTAAGTAGGGACTACCTATGAAATTGCAAATGAATTTCATTGGGGAGATTTTAATCCGCTTTTGTTCTAAGCAGTTCCAATTAGGTCGAAGAATGTGTTACTTATTTCATCTTCATTTTTTAATGGTTTTCGAAAATTATGGTTTTATTTATATTTGGTCACAAGTATAGTGACGATGATAGGCGTGAATAGTATGGATATGGCTTGATTATAATGATTTTTTATCTATGGTGATTTTTTCCCCTTTTTAATCAAGACTCATGCTTCTTTTATTCCCCGGGTGAATCTATCATGTTTCGTTTATAGTAAAATACCCTTTTAATTATACACAATAAAGAATCCATTAATTATGTATGCCTTTTTATTGTATTTATTACTACAATGAATTCTCTCACTAAAAGGGGAGTGAAAACATCGTTGGTGGAAATTCAAGGAATGGAAGCCTTTCCATATCGTAGGAACATTAAATTAATTACATAAGAATTTTCTATCTGCCTTGTACGGGGTTTGGTCATTAATTATACTGATTGGGAGCCAATCAGTTTTACCTTTTGGATTAACTATACATGAATGCAAATTTAATTAGACGAGGGCAATTGGGAACGAAGTGGAATGATATGATCCCAATTAAACCTCTCTACAAGATACAATGGCTTGAACAGAAGCAACCTCACTCACAAGTTGGAAGCTGGAATTTTGGTGAAGTCCCTTTGCCATTTCCACGAAAAAACAAACCAAACCAAACCAATTAACCAAACCAAACCAAAAACCAAATATAGAAAGCATTCACAATACCAAAAACCAAATATAGAAAGCATTCACCGAACCAAAAACCAAATATAGAAAGCAAATATAAAAAGCATTCACCAAACCAAAAACCAAATATAAAAAGTATTCACCAAACCAAACCAAAAACCAAATATAAAAAGCATTCACCGAACCAAACCAAAAACGGTTGTCCATCATCCTGAGAAAAAAAAAACATAACAGTTGTCCATCATCTTGAAAACTAAAACGCAAAATCAGGTTGTCCTTGGGCTCGTTGACTGGGTTTCCTTGTGCTCTTCTCTTTCCTTTTTCCTCCTTTCATGGGCTTTCTTGTACTCTTCCACTGCAGCTTCAACTTGAGGTGCAACTGTTCTTGCTTCCGTGAGCACCATATGCCTTATGTAGTTCATGGGCTCTCGAACAAGGTACAAAGCGATCTGCATCCTCCTCACTTGAGTGCATGGCTATCAACATCAACAAACATGGTGCTTAACGCATGATTCAAAAATAACAATCAATTGTGGTTTTCTAATATGCGAATTAGAATTGTCTTTACCCAAATATAAGAGGAGTCCCAGCTTGCGCCATACATCCACATGCATACCCAGACTCCACTGTCAGACCTACATAAAATAAAAGCATTGCGTGATAAGAACCAAGTTGATAAGTCGTCGTTTAATATCACAAAAAATGGGCATACTTACCGATGAAGTTGTTCTTGATCCTTTGAAGGATTTGTGTACGAAAACTCCGAAATCCTTGGTGGTGACAATCCCGGACCTTGTTCACGATAGAGAATCTTCCATAAGGCTTGCATAAATCTCATCTGTACAAATTAAGAAACGTTTGTACTTAGAAAGAGGTATTTACATTTTTTGCGTTATAACGGCACAATATCACAAATTTATCATTGTTTGAACAGATTGTAGTCGAAAGGAATTGCGGTCTTCATTTGGTTGTGGATCCAAGATATGGACTTCTTCCTTGTCCAACTTAATGACAGCCAAGTACCAATGGGCATTATCTCTCATCGGAACACACACCTACATATGCGGAAATTGTCAACACGTATTAAAAAAATAAACTGCAAACCATGTAATACTTATTAAGACGAACAGTTTACCTTGTTCACCATATTGGTTCGACTAAGGAATTTTGATTCGTATAGGTCTAATGCCCTCTCGGGTGTTATTCCACATGAAATCACTAGTTCCTGCCCATGTGGTAGTTGCACAATTGAAATTTTGTCAACACAATATGATTCACGTTAAAAAAACATGTGTTGTATTTTTTTTTTGTGAGAGGAAATTAATCTTAAGCATAATCGAACCACAACCTGTAGTTCAGCAGGCAGATAGCACACTCCTTTTCCGTCCTTAGAATTTGTCCACAACTCTTCTAGAGTCAAGTGGCAGGCCATCGCTGTTACAACACTTCATGATACTATCGAGTTGTTATAAAATAATTCTACGTAGAAAGCATTGATAGTGGACAAACAAAAAAAAATTTTGGAGTTCCGTTGATTACCTCAGCATCTACGAATGGGCGAGGGCTTAAGGACCACAATGACTTCCTGGTACAAGAGTTGTTTGAGGTTTTGACCAATACTTCGTCAAGTGGCAGATTGGCTAAAAATATATAGTGAGCAAGCTAGATTTGCTCATCATCGTATTCCATAGCGGTAGGTAGCTTAAACTTCAAAACAACCTGGAATAGGGGCCACAAATAAACACGAGTCGAAATGCATTCGTTATGACGGAATAACGGCAAATAACAGTTCAATGGCAAACATGACACCTTTATTACCTTGTCAACAGAACTTAGACAAATACTTTTTCCATTTGGCTTCTTTGGTGTTACCTCAAAGTCAGATTCATCGTCCGAAATAAAAACGATGACTAAAGCAGGAGTGGTTGGAGTGCTTACACCTTTGGGTATCCTTGGTTTCTTTGTTGGAGTCACAAATTCGGCGGTCTCCTTCAAGGACAGTGAACCTACGATTAATAAATTAACTAGAATGAATTTCAATGGTTAAAGAGCTATTATACATACCACAAGCTTGGACGAAGAGGGAGTAATCCTCCTATTTTCCATGTTGTGCCTCTAATCTAAGCTTTAGTCTGTATCAAAATTGCGGCAAAGAAGGATATGGAACCACTGCTCTACCGCTGAAGATTAATTATATATACAAGGTTAGGATAAATTGTGGCGCCATATTTTTCCCGCGCAAAAATAGTTAGGGTTTAGTCTAAGGTACATGAACTTGGGATAAACATGGGTAGTTATTAAACCTAAAATTAAAAATATACTTTTTCGATTGAATAAAGAATTGAGTGCTATTAGTAAATATTCGCTCATATTAATATTTGATCCTTCCCCATACACGTAGTACACAACTAGAGTCAGCTGGCGTTTGGCTTTACTAAGCAAGGTTTTTTATTTTAAATATTTTCGTTATTTGTGAAAATGGTAAAGAAATCACTAAGATAAAGAATAGAAAGTTCAACTCGTTCCTACCAAAAATATAAGATATCACAAATCGTGTTCTTAATGGGGATAATTATTAAGTGGCCCATTGAAGCATTAATTCGGCCATCATTCCCAGTAGGGTTTTGTAATCTACGTCCTTGGTTCCCCAAAATTTCCAGCAGTGACAATGACGTCGGAGGCAGACCCGCCATTGACGTCGGAGGAAGTCCTAGTATTGACGTCGGAGTCAGTCCAAGAAAACGCTGGTGCCGGAGCTAGTCACAACACCCAGGAAGATAATGTCACCGATCTCATATTTCTACAACCTGAAGATATTAAAAAAATGAAGTTCGATGATACAGAAGAAGCCTATAATTTCTACATGGACTACGGGTTAGTCAAAGGCTTCGACATTAGAAAATCAGACATTGGTCGTGATAAGAACAAAGTTATGATATGGCGTGACTATATATGCTCTGGCGAGGGAAAGAGGCGCATGAAGAGCACAGAGAGAAGCAAGAGGGGAGACCAGATTTAACTGCAGAGCCAAGATGCGTGTTAAATAAGACAATGTCGATGGGAAGTGGTATGTGCACCAGTTTGATGATGTACACACACATGAAACGATCCCCAGAGAATATAGACACTACATGAAAGGGAAACGTCGTATGAGTGATGCAGTCAAAGCAGCGATAAATTTTAGAAGAGCTGCAGGTATGAAAACTTCTCAAATTGTGAATCTGGCCATATCAGAAGCAGGAGGCTACGACAATTTGGGGTACACGAGGAAGGATGCATATAATTATGTGGACAAAGAGAGGAAAGAACAAATCAGTGAAGGTGATGCCGCAACAGCCCTAGCCTACCTACAAGCTAAATGTAGCGCGGACGATCATTTCGTTATTGAACTAAAGAAGGATGACGACGACCGGCTTATTAACATCTTTTGGGCTGATAGTATTTCTGTTGCTGATTATGCATGCTTTGGAGAATTACTGTCATTCGATGCTACTTAACAAATGGAACATTTACCAGATGCCTCTCGTGATTTTTTTAGATACTTTTCCTTCGCACATAGAATTATCTCGAGCATGCTAAAATAACCCTAGAAGTTTGCATAATCTAACTTTTTTAACTTTTTTAGGTGTCAACCACTATTCGCAAACTTGTGTATTTGCATGTGCTTTCTTGGCTAACGAGAGAGAGGAAAATTATATTTGGGTGTTGGGAGCTTTGAAGAGAAGGCTAGGCAGTGTAGATCCCAAGACTGTTATTACAAATGGGGATAGAGCAATGCGTAATGCTATTTAGAAAGTATTTCCCGATGCAACACATCGTCTATGTTCCTGGCATATAGACAAGACTATAACCAAAAATGTGAAGAATCATCCTACTTATACCCTAAACCTTCACTACCTTATAGGCTTATGCTATAAACCATCAACACCTTGCTACCTACCTTATACCCTAAACCTTCACTACCTTATAGGCTTATGCTATAAACCGTAAACACCTTACCATCTCCATCCCATTGCTTATTTAGTGGAATCCTAGGTGGCACCATTATTTAGCAAGATTGCAATGCCACCTAGGATATTTTTTCTAAACTAGCAAGATTGCTAAATTAGGAATTCTTCTTGCAATGCCAAACCCTAATACACGAACCAATCAATACCATATACTCTACAACAATAACACCTTATAGGCTTATACCCTAACCAATCAATACCATATATACTCTAAACCATCAACACCTTGCTACCTACCTTATACCCTAACCTTCAATCTCTTAAAAATTTATGCTCTAAACCATAAACACCTTATTAGACCATCTTCATCCCATTGCTTATTTAGACCATCTCCAATGGTGCAATTCTTGAGAATTGCAAGCTGATGTGGCAAGGGAGTGAAAGTGGGATGGTGAGTTGCATTGATGTGGGATTAATTACAAAAGTTGCAAATTTGCATCTGATGAATGTTTTCATGCAATTGCATACTGGCCCACCTTTTGTCCTTTTGGTTTATTTTTCTTTCTTTCTTTCTTTCTTTTTCGTTTGTGTTTATTTTTCATTCTCAACATACGTGCAGCACACACATATATACAATTCCAATCATAACACTTTATATATTGAATTTCTAGCTTACATAATACTTATATATTGTATGTAATTAAATAATCATTAAATAAAATTCCTATCATGGTTGATATATAATTCAAATATCAAGGTTCATATATAATTCGAATAACACAACGACAAAAAACAACTTGAGAGAAAAACACACTAAACGCGTTAAGATGACAAAACTCAAATTAATATAACACACTCACAAATTAATATTGAATTGCATTGAGAATTAAGTAGGACCCACGGTCACAATTGCATCTTGATTGCATTGATGTATATGGTATGAAAATGAGGAGTGAGTTATAGTTAAAGTTGCTGAAGTGGCAATTGGGACCACCTATTTGATCGGTGTTGGAAACTTGAACTGAAACTGGAAGTCCTCCTATGCCGCGTCGTTTGGTATATAAGAAGACTGTTGCCTCTTGCGGTGTCGTTTAATTTATGCACTCATTAATGGTCAATTGAAGGCAAATTTTAAGCACTCTAAATAAATCATGTGCAACATTTCAGTTGAATAATTTTGAGAACTAGTTTTTTTTATTCAATTATTATATCGTTTTTTTGCACTAATTTTGAGCACTCATTAAATGGCTAGAGCATGTGGCGACAGAGGAGCAGAGTTTGAAATCCGTCAAAAAATCCGGTTGGCCCAAACGTAAAGACTTCTAAAAATGGAGTCAGTAGTCAACAAATAAAGTACAATATTTTTATTGGGAGTGGAGGATCCCTCGCAGATTTAGAAGATCTCAAACACTAAAAGTACAATTTTTGAAAAAAACAAAAAACTGTACTTTCCCTCCCTATTTTATCCTATTATACATATGGCAACTTTCCCCTCTTGTATACATTTTGGGAGCATGATCAACATGTACGCGTCAATGTTACCCAAAAGAATCACCATATGAAGTAGGGTTCCACAACACCTATTATGGAATCGTAACAACATATGATGATTCTTTCGGCAATATTCAGACGGCGACTTATTGTCATTGCTCCCCTCCCTGCCTCTAACAAAGACCCTTCATGGAGAGAAAAGGAGAAACAATAAACGAAGGATTTAGTTTAACAGTCATGATCTAACAATGACATAATGAAAGGAACTGAGATCTAAAATAATACGCAGTCTCATCATTACCACTGCACCCAAAAATAAAGCATGGGACAGGAGGACGAAGAGGTGGATGGGGTTGATTTTCAGAGTTTCATATTGAGAAGATGGGAGAAAGGGTTCTTTTCAGGGATTGAGAGGAGGAGGAACGAACAGCAGCCGGAGATGAGTGCCACTCGGGTTTCGGAGCACGGTCTCTCCTTCACTGATTAACGAATTTATAGATTGACTCGTAATTACTTTTACTTTCCCTCCATTCACGATTACTGAAACTTACACTCCCTACCACTGCCTCGGCCTTGGTAACGCCAGCATTGGTTATGGGCAAAAGCGACTTTCCGAATTTGGCAATATCTGATTGGGTGACACGCACGCGACAAGGATCGAAGGTATTTCACCATTGGATTAAGGGAAAAGTTTAGGAATTGACGGTGGGAAATGGGGATGTGTTTTTATAAATAGTCTGACTTTGTAGATTAACTAACTTTTTCGTTTACCAACATTACTCTATTGATCTGGTTTATGTTATTCTAACTTGAATCATAACCCTAAACCCTATAACCTAAACCCTATACCCTAAACCCTAATACACGAACCAATCAATACCATATACTCTACAACAATAACAACACCTTATAGGCTTATACCGTAACCAATCAATAACATATATACTTTCAACCATCAACACCTTGCTACCTCCCTTATACCATAACCTTCAAGACCTTTTACTGTATACCAACAACACCTTCTTCTATCTCCATCCCCAACTTTTAGCAATTGCTAAAGATGAGTGGAGCTTAGGTGGCAAAAACTTAGCAATGCCACATAGATAACTTTCTTTTTCCTTTTTCCTTGTTTATTAACTTTTCAATTTATAATAAGTGTTTCCTTTGAAATATTAAATGGAACCCACCTTGGCAATTGCTAGCATAATTTAGGAATGCAGATGAATAGAAATTGATAAGTGATGAATTGCTAAAATTGATGATGTGGCGGTAGGGACCTCGTTTAGAAATTGTTGTTCAATTTTAGGGATGAAGATGATCAATACACTAACCCAATACCATATACTCTAAACCATCAACACCTTATACAATATCGTATTTTAGGGATGGAGATGATCAATACACTAACCCAATACCATGTACTCTAAACCATCAACACCTTATACAATATCATATACCTATACGCTGATAAAAAATTTGCCCAACTAGATTACATAGGTACTTCAAAATTGAAATTATAACTTGCTTTTCAAAACATAAATTAAAAATTGATACTCGCTAAGTATCGAACCACAAACCTCTACTTTATTGACTAAGCAAATAAAGGACAATTAACCAATTAAGCTACATTACATTGATGACCATCTTGCATAATTTCGCTTTCTTATTAAGTGAAGGGTTAAAATGAACGATAATATATCACAGGGGATTGTTTCAACTTCGTCGGGGACTGAGAGAATGGAAAAGGGGTAATTATTCTACCAAAAAAGAAAAGAAAAGGGGGAATTAACGAAGAGTTAAATTGGACGGATTGTCTTTAGCACGCCACTACCACCCAAAATCCTTCGGAGCAAAGACATGTTGGTTCAAGTCAAAGAATAAATGAAGAAAGATGAAGTTAAGAACTCTAACTAATTTTGATTCCATATGTGGCGAATCGCTAATGGTCGGGATAACCAACATGGCAAAATCGTTAATGAGAACCTACTTTGCACACACCAAATCATTTTATCTCGTACCGATAAATGTGTAAAGAGACACGCTACAATAATTATGTCTAAATTTCCTGATAATAAGACGTGATCGGCATTTATAAGCAGATGTTAAGAAAATATAAAATCGAGAAAAATAAAACAACACATACCCTCAGCCGAACCAATCAATACAATATGCTCTAGACCATCAACAATTCAACACCTTATAACCTACCCACATACCATATACTCTAAACCATCAACAACCTAATACCCTAACCAGTCAGTAATCATTACCTTAACCATAAACACCTTATACAATAATCGCATACCTATACGATGATAAAATTTTACATTTTGAAAATACTTGCCCAAGTAAAGTCCACAAGTACTTCAAAAGTGAAATTCTAACTTTCGTTTCAAAACATAAATTTAAAAAATGTCCTCATTAAGTATCCAACCACAAGCCTCTAATTAGTCTACAAGAGGTTTGTTATGTCAAGACTCAAGAGAGGCAAACAGTGAGAGAGTGGAATATGGGCAATTAATAAAGAGTTAAATTGGGCGGATTGTTTTTTACCTCGTACCGATAAATGTGTAAAGAGCAATGTTGTCAGAACTGAACTGGAGCATGACCCGGTAATGCGAACGGCTCGCACTTTGGTGGTCCAACCGGCATTATCCCGTTAAAAAACCATTAGAGAACCGATACTAATAAACGTTATCAATATAAATAGTGGACATTTCTTAATCAGAGCTCGTCTCTTTCCTTCAAAATTGTGAAATGGAAATAAGGATTCAATTTGAGAGCCCGACGTTTTTGGTTTATTTCAACTTTCAATTTTCTGCAATTTTTTTAATTAAATTTAACGGCTGAATGTCAAAAACCGGACGAGCGGCTCAATCGGCTCGAGCGGTTAACCGCATCGGCCGCTCGTCAACCGCTACATAAAACCGGAGCGGCTTTTAGACTGTTTCGAGCCGGTTTTATGACCAGGTGGCGGTTTTACCGGTCGGGCCGAGCGGCTCGGCTCGGCTTTAATAACATTGGTAAAGAGACACGCTACCATTTACCGAATCCCAAAAAAAGATGGAACACATAATTGTGTTTAAATTGCGTGAACGCAAGACATGATCAGGATTTAGAAGCAGAAGAAGAAGCAGATGTAAATAAAAGCCCAACCTCTTCACAATCCGGATCATGTACACAAGCCCACTTTTGAAGGGAATTTAAAAGCCTGCAAAAAATGAATGATTAAACCCAGAAATAATATGGATCCCAGTCCAACTAGACTTTGTCCTAAACACACCGTTAATACATAAACACAAGTTAAGGCGAACTCTCCATCCGATTCGAATCAAATTCTGTCTTCTTCATCTTCTTCCTCAATTAGGTCGAAGACTGTGTTGCTTATTTCATCTTCAATTTGTTGTAAGCAATGCAGTCAAAATCGCGTTTTAAAACTTAAAAACTTACGATTTTACGCTTTTAGGTCACCAAAACGCTTTCGTTTCCATATAAAAACTTAAGTGTATAAAATCGGACTAAAATGCGCTTTAAAGCATAAAAGCTAACGGTTTTATGCTTCTAGTTCACCAAAACGCTTTACGTTTTTACGCTTTTAGTTCACTAAATGAGTATTCTTTTCATGAAATTAATTATAAAAAGTATATTTTAAAAGTAAATCACCAACAATATGATACATTTGAGATTAGAAGATACATATCAGGTACTTGGATGCATTCTCAACTTCAATAGAGTAATATAATTCACCAGCTAGGTTTTTCCCAAATTCATTAGCATAGAGGGAAAAGTGGCTTATTGTTAAAATTTATGTTTACGAACTTATTATTAAGATGCTATAAGTTGTTCTACTTTAGGCATGAATCGCATGTATTTATTAATTTATCTGTGTTCATATTTTGCATAGCATATGTCCTAATTAATAGATTTTTAGTTATTTTTCAGTATGCGTCAAAAACTTACGCTTTTACGCTTTGATTCTACGCTTTACGATTTTATCCCTTTTCCGCTTCTAGGTAGAATCGCGCTTTTGACTGCATTGGTTGTAAGGAGTTCCAATAACGCTAACACATGATGACAAAGCACTGGCGACTGAACCCTAGGGTTAGCAAAATGAAAAGTTCGATGAACACAATAATAGACATGGTCGTCGTAATCGTGTTAGAAAGAGATAGGTGTGTAAATTCCGGTCGGAAATAAAATGGCGAAGAACAAAACGTCGATTGTGGATACAAGGATTTGTGGTTCAAAACGATGATTATGTGGGGATTTTAGATTCCGGTCGGAAATAAACTGGCGAAGAACAAAACGTCGATTGTGGATACAAGGATTTGTGGTTCAAAACGATGATTACGTGGGGATTTTAGATTGAAAAGGGATCTCCTCTTCGAACGTGGATACATAGATTTGGGGTTCAAAACATGATGATGTTGGGGATTTGATATTGGATAGGGAGCTAAATCGAGTGTGGATCAAATGATAAAAGGATTTCATATTTCAGAAACGATGATAAAAGGATTATGTTTGAACTTCGAACTAAGAGGGGACGTCCCCTCCAAGACGAATGAGGGACTGGAAATTGGTTAGGGCGGCGGGTCGTATCCATAGGGTTTAACCTCTTAATCGATATAATTAAACCGGGTACAGTTAGGTTGAAGTCCAATGAAAAAAGGTTAAACGCTTCGTGATGTTTTTGGTAATTTTCCTTGCCCCCGATTACCCGTCCCGGACACCCTAGAACTGCCCATATATATATATAAAGTCCATCCAGAAAGCAGGAAATTTTCCACGTAAACATCTCCAGCAAAGAGTTTAGGGTTTACTCGAAATTGAAGGTTTGTCGGTATTCATTTCTCTTCGTACTTTTCTTATTGCCTGGCTAAGCTATATGCGAGTCGAAGTAAAATTCTTTGTCTTCCTCTTGGTCTTGGCAGGTATCTCATGAGCCCATTTCGGCGCATCGTGCACATACTCAAATGGCTACTCCGAATGGGCCGATTGTCAATTAGAATTTCAGGCCCAATATCCCTGATCTCGTCCAACTCGAGAAGGATATCGTTTGGCCCAGCAGCTGGTGGAATTTAGGTATTTTACGCTTTCGCGAACGTAAGTTCCTGACTCCTGAGCTGAGACTGACGACCATAGGCAAACGACATCGTATCATTTCCCTGGGGGCTGGGTGAGATTCTTCGTCAAGCAGAGATCCCCGTGACCACAAGTTTTGGAGATTCTGGTGGGACCCTCTCACTCCCTCCTCCTCACTCCTCCCCCGCCAGAAAGAATCCAAAACAGTCAGCCATAACCAACCAAAAAGTTTCTCGCTCCGGCGAAGAACGACGATTCTTTCTTCTCCCCGTCTTCTATTTCGGTCGAAGGGATGGAATCCGTCTGCCGGGCAGCCCAATTCTCTTCCAAACCCACTTCTCCGACGATCCTGCTTTCTCTACAAACCAAGCATCTGATCAGGGCCCAAAAGGGTTGGGCCCGTAGCTTTCCCGCCTCCCCACGCCGCGCATCCCCCAATCGAACGGTCGTAGCAGCGTCGTACGGTAACAACAACAGAGATCGTGACGCCGTACCGGAGCGAAGGTCGATTGGGAAAACTGTGGTGGGTGTCTCCGCCGCCGTAGCTGCTCTCGTCTCCGTCTATTTCTCCGACCCGCCTCCGTCTCTCGCCGAGTCCCTCACGGTGGCTTTCCCAGTCTCCCGCGCTCGTGAGGTGATCTGTTCCTTCTTTTGTCTTTTTAATTCGGTTGCCTTAACTGGGTTTTCCTACGCTATTTGGTTTTCCAGTTTTTGTTCCGGTTAGGAGGGAATTGAATTGAAGTGAAGGGGTTTGGGGGTTGTGTACTTGTTAGGTGAATACAGTTCAAAGAACGCTTGTGGAGGCATGGGGTCTGATCAGAGAGACGTTCGTAGATCCAACTTTCAATCATCAAGGTAATTTAGGTTGGCTCTAAAAACTGTGTGCAAATATGAGGAATCGAGAGTGGAAATGTAAGCCATTGAACTTCCAACTCTGTTTTGTGGGTGTAGATTGGGATTCAAAGTTGCAGCAAACTATGGTGGAGATGTTTCCTCTTAGCTCATCTGATGCTGCTTATAATAAGATAAGGGGAATGCTATCAACCCTTGGGGATCCCTTTACTCGGATTATCAGTCCAACGGTCTTGCACTTCATATCCTTTTCTTCTTTTACTGCGACATTTACATCCAATGCCTGCGAAGAACTTCAGATTAGCATTTGATGAGACCCATCTTCAGTTCAATTGAATCGGTAGCGATCGACGCAAAGTTTTTATCTTTGTATAGTTTCTGATGTGGGTTTAGTGTTCACTTACAGGAATACCAAAGTTTTAGAATCGGCAGTGATGGGAACTTGCAAGGTGTTGGCGTGTTTATCAATTTGGAACCAAGAACAGGCCGTTTGGTGAGTGAGATACACACATAACTATACTTCGCCTTCAGAAAGGTAGCATTTGGACTTTGGAGATAAGCATTTCTTTTAATGTTGCAGGTGGTTTTGTCTTGCATAGAGGGAGGGCCAGCTGCTCGTGCTGGGGTACAGGAAGGAGATCAACTGATTGAGATTGATGGTATTCCAGCTATCCTCTTCAAAGAAACTGGAATAAGGTTTTTTGTTCAATAGTTGGGCATAAATGTCGACTTATGCATAGGCTTGCATGCTATTATGAACAAACCCTGAATGCTCCACTCTGCGTATATTTGCTCTGCATCTGCGGCGCAAGGGCATTGAATGAATTGAGCAAGCAAACCTGACATAGTTCATCAGGCTAGGCACCAAATAACTATCATTACACTATTGTATGTGCCACCACATGCCCATGATTATATTGCATCAAAACTGGAATCTGGATTCAGTTTCAGAGTCATCAACCAACTCACTAAACCATCGGATATTGAATGGTTACATGTCCACCTGAACGATACCAGGTCAATATGGATGTTTGCACTTCATTCCATCTATGTTAGAGTCTGGTAAATTTTCTCTAAAGTTCGGGTAATTCATCTCAAACGCCAGGTCAGCGGTTGGATGGTGTTGACAGCGAGGTGGCAGCCCAAAAGCTAAGAGGACGAGTTGGGACATCAGTAACAATGAAACTCAGCGTAACTATCCAGCCTCTTACTTGTCCTCCATGAACGCACCTTTATTCAGTGAAGTTAATATCTGTGTACTGCACAGATGTTTCCTGATTTAAACGATTCCTGACCTGCAAACTGGAATTGAAGTCTCCTTTTTGTTTCCTGTTCCTGATCTGCATGCTCATTTAATTTTGGGCTATTATAGCCTTTGTTTGATGAGGGCACTAAGGCTCTACCAACTAGACTGAATTCCAATTTTCAAGCTAATACCACTAGATCTAAAGATCCATTGCAAGTAACAGATTCAAGCAAATTAATGGCACTTGTTACTCTTTGCTACCAAATGACAAAGAATCAGCGAAGTGCTTAATGCCTGATCTGTATCTATTTCTGCAGAGCAAAGACTCAGGCAGTGACTCTAGCACCAGAGAGGTATTAGCATTGTTTCAAGCTCTATGTTCCTCGCATTTTGAGTCATAGTTGATTATCGGACATCTTTAAGAAGAGTCTGAATCTTCTTGAAGGTCAAATTATCTCGAGAGTACATCAGACTTTCACCAATATCCAGTGCCATCATCCCTCACAGGACACCAGATGGCCGTTTAGCCAAGACTGGCTACGTGAAGCTGTCAGCCTTCTCTCAGGTTACAGAACATAAACAAACATACACAACTTTCTATTCTTTTCGCCAATACATAACCCTCGAAACTCATTTCAACTCGTCTCTACAGAGCGCTGCGACTGACATGGCAAATGCAATTCAAGAGATGGAACGTCAAGATGTGCAATCCTACATTCTGGATCTTCGCAATAACCCAGTAGGTTTGCTTCCCCTACCTTCATTTTCAGCTGCAACACCTGAATAATAACCGTCTAACGATGCCTTTTTCGACAGGGGGGTCTGGTGAAAGCAGGACTCGACGTGGCACAAATGTGGCTCGACGGAGATGAGACACTAGTGAACACACTTGATAGAGAAGGTAACATGCAGCCGATTAACATGGTGGACGGCCATGCCATAACACACGATCCCCTGGTTGTCCTGGTAGGGAACAAAAATCCCATTAACACCCCTTTCAAATTGTTCTTATTCTTGTTCCCCATTGTTTAATACCACTAAAAAAAATGAATATATTCTGCCAGCATTGATCCTCCCCTTTCCACAAAAATGGCATCTTTCTTCCATGTGCAACGGTTGTTGAACTCTCAACTTTTGTACTGATTGGCGGGTCCAACCCGAACAAAACAGGTGAACGAGGGAAGTGCTAGCGCTAGTGAGATATTAGCTGGAGCTTTGCATGACAACGGGCGAGCCATCCTTGTCGGCCACAAAACCTTTGGCAAGGGCAAAATTCAGGTCCATTCATTTTCTTTAACGCGACAAAAGTTCGTTTCTTTTGGCTGTTGGGGTGGTGAATTTGTGAACTTTAGAGAAAGGGAATTGATGGTGTTCTGATTCTGCAGAGTGTGACAGAATTGCACGACGGCTCAGCCCTGTTTGTGACGGTGGCCAAGTACCTGTCGCCGGCGCTTCACGATATAGACCAGGTCGGGATAACGCCTGATGTCCAGTGCACGACGGAAGATGTGCTGAGAGAGTACTCTTCATCGCAGTTGAAGAACAAAAAGAACAAAGAATCCGCCTCCTTGGAAGCAGATTCGTGTATCATGGTCGCTGAACATGAACTGGACATTCAGGAGTCGCGAGGCACAGCTTCGTGAACAATCTCAAAGAACAAAATGACTCAATTGCGCTAGCTTTCCCAGAATCAACTGGTGAATCGCCAACACTGATCGGCCTGAATTAAAATTGGAGCGCTGTTGTATATTGTAGATAGATAGTTTCTTCTGTAATTTAAGTGTAAAGATGATAGGATTTCAAGAGTCTCACAAGGGCTTTTCGTTATAGTGTGTAAAATTAAGCAGATGCCGCCATTGATGAATGGGTAAGTAAGCACAGAAACACCAGCACAGATAATATAAAAAGGGTATATTATTATACAATGAATGGATATCTCGATATATGATATGTATATAAATAGGTCAATGAATTCGATACAAATCGTCTCCACCTTCAACCAGCCCACATAACCAACCAGCCAGCTAGTACAGTAAACCAAACCCAAATCTGGAACTAAATAAAAACCCAAAACGAAGGAAGAGAGACGGAGATAAAATGAGAAGCAGCAGGGGAAGTAAGCGCCGCAAAATTCACAAGGGGGTGAGGAGAACGAAATCCTCTTTACATCTTCAACAGACCCATGAGAGAAACGACCACAGAGACGGCAACGAAAGCGCCGGAGGCGGGAACGGAGAAGCCAGCGCCGGTCACCTGCGACGGCGAGGGAGCCGGGGCCATTTCCTGGGCGGAGACGATGGTCGCCAGGGATGCGACCAGCAGGAGCACGGAGAGGGCAGCTGCCTTCGAGAAGCTAACTTGGGCCATTGTTGTAATTGCTCGAAGAAAGAAGGGTTTGATGGGCTCTGTGGGTAGAGAGATGAAGAGCTGAGAAAGAAGAGAATGGAGGTCTGATATTTTGTGTGGCGGTGGTGGGATGGAAGAAGGTCATAATAAGAGCGGTTTTTATAGAGGGTATTTTGTTTAGACGCGGCGGGTGGGACCCATTTTTTGAACGGGAATAAAACAATTAAATAATAGTGGGTTTTTTTTAATGTTTAATGACAGCGAATAAATAATAATAATAATAAAAATCAAAATTGTGGGAGTTAACCGACCAATAGTGCGGTGGCAGACTGAAATAAGACAGCCCAGCCCATAACAACACAAGGTGGCCCACCTGGTGGTGTGAAATGAGTTGTTGAACAAACTACCGCGCCACGAGAAGTTCATTCCTCCTTCCTTTCTTTCTTTTCTCTCTTTCCACGATTACGGTATAAAGTTGGGAAATTGTGCTGTAAAGCAAGCATAGGTTGTGGTGGTGTGGAAAAGTTCGTTCAGTCAAAGTTAAAGAATTGGTACTACCCTTCCTTCATTCACGCTTACCTTGCCTGTTAAGATATTTCGGGGTCGTTTGGCTATTGTTTTGTTGAAATTGTCATTATGCATGTATTGTTTACAATTCATCGTTTTTTTGTTTTTTAGCAGAAACAATATATGGATTGTTTCTGTGATGTGACAGAAACTATCACTCATTTTGAGTGATTGTTATATCTCAACTTTTAGTTGTTATTGTTGAGATAGTTGAGTTGAGATTGTTTTGTCTCAGCTTTTAGCTGATGCGACATACACAATCGCACATACCAAACGTTGTATTCTACAATGTATCAAATTCAACAATATATATATATAATATTATACATGCATTCTCAACAATACATATATGTAACAATCGCAACCTCCAAACGATCTCGACCTGGTGGGAAATGGCTCGTCTTTTTGGGTTTTGTGTGGACGGGCTTCATTCAGGCATGTGGCAGCGTCAAACCAAGCAATCGCCTACGAAGAAAATTTGGGCAAGGAAGGGGAAGAAATGGGCGAGTCATGTTGATAACTTGTATGAATAAGATAGAAACAATTGCGCCCTTGGTTGTTACTTCATTTTAAATTACTAATAACGAATGAAAGAAAGATACGATGTGTTGTTCCTTTGGTTCTCGATGCGAGTTGTACTTTAGATGAGTATTTTTTTTTTTTTTAGTTTCGTTTGAAAAATTTTCAAATAAATTGAAGAAAATTCACAAATAATTTTTCATTTTTAAAGCGCGGCAAATTTTGAATTTTCGAAAGTACGTGGAGAAAAGGTTCCTCCGCTTCCTCGAGAGACGTAATATTTCAATGATGAATCATTCATTTTAAAGTTTTTAACTGTTTTGCTTCTGTACATTTATGCAGGGTCTTTTTATTTTAATTTGTGAATGATTGACAATTAGGGTATTTCAAGTGACAGTACACTTTTACTGCTATGGCCAAAAAAATAATAATAATAACCTTGACTATCAACACTTGTTTAACATTTTAGACAAATCTCATATCGACAAAGTATGAAAGAGATCTGCGCAATTCATAAGGAAGAATCCAACCTTAACCAACAAATTGCATTTTGGGATGGGAACCGATGAGTTCTTGTAAGAACTCTTAGATTAAACGTGCTTAGAATGGAGCCATGTAGACTAAAGTGATGTGTGACCCTTGAAATTCTTCACGGTACACCCCACAAGTAAAACAGAGCAAAAATTTATCCAAAATCAACAATATTTAGATAAAAATGATTGAGATGTAACAATACTCTTAAGGGTAATGTCTATTTTTTATCCAAACCTTTTCAGATTTTTTTATATTATCTAAACCTATTAAAATGTTATTATTTAGCCAAATCTTTCGTAATACAACAAGATATTAGCCCTTTTTACATTATAGTTAATAATTTTGTAACTTTTATCTTAGTTAAAAATACTAAAATTTTGGAACGTTGACTTTCATGTGTCTTTTCCAAGTCAGTATCATGTTACTAAGTCAATATTACTAACAAAATTACTAATTGAAAGTCAACATTTGACTAATTTTTAGTATTTTGATAAATTTGAATAATATAAAGAATTTGAAAAAAATGGATAAAAAATAGACATTACCTATTGAAAACTTTGTAATAAAAACAGTTGAGATGTTATAATTTCCTTCCAACACTAATGAGTAATCACAAAGCAAACAACATGGCTTCCATTCACAATAGTAATTTATTATATTCTTTTATATCAATGTCCAATTTTGTATATTTATAATCACTACTCTTTTTTAATATTTACTCGTTGGCTGCGACTTTTTTTCCCCTCGTCGACAGCAAGGGATGGTGTGCGCAATGTGTTAAGGTTCGTGTATCAACTTTTTGAAGGATGATCATGATGTTGTTTCTTCTCCATACATAACTTTTATCTCCTACAATTAATCTCTAAACATTTCAAATAAAATATACTTTTTATCTGGGTAAAGCTTGTCGATTAGAAGTACCAAATTATTGACCACTCAGTGAAACCAGATTTTTTTTTTCCCTCAAGAAATTTATGTGAGTGCATTTTTTCGTAACTGTTGCATAATTTTTTTTTAATGATCACTCCATATGAAATTATGAGGATTTTCCACAATGTCCGACTTATTCGGAAGAAAATTTTCATAGAAGATTTTACATAGATGTACCCGCACTCAATTCATATGATCGACCCGTAATATCGAACTTATGCACCGATGAATATCTAATGAGGGATACTAAAAACCATTGAACAAGAGTCTAATTAATCCGAGAAAGAACAGCAATATTGAAGTCACGAGTATATAGTAAATGAATAATCTCTTATAATGTAATAATATATATGGGATCAAAGAATTCGATACAATAATGTGTCTCAAACCTCAAACCCGCAAAACCGATACAAAATCCAATATTGACCCAAACCCAAAACCAGAACAGAGATAAGATAACAATTGAACCAGCGAAGAAGCAGGAGGAAAGAGAAGAATCCCCTCTACATCTTCAACAAGCCCATGAGAGACACAACCACGGAGACGGCAACGAAAGCGCCGGACACCTGGACGGAGAAGCCAGCGCCGGTGACCAGCGACGGCGAGGGAGCAGGTGCCATTTCCTGGGCAGAGACAATGGTCGCCAGAGATGCGACCAACAGGATCATGGAGAGGGCAGCTGCCTTCGAGAAGCTTACTTGGGCCATTTGGTTGATTGGGTTGAGAAAAAAATGGAGCAAAGTTGATGGGTTTTGGAGCTGGAGATGAACAGCTGAGAGAGCAGAGGGAGAAGAGAAGGGATTTGAGATTGAAGGTGGGATGGGTTGGAAATGGAGAAGGGGGCAGAGGGGTGGTTTTATACAGAGGGGTTTGGATCCGACCATTGAGGGACCGGGACCCGGCTCAAACGGTCACTAAAAATAAAATAATTCAAGTGTAATAAAGTGAGCCAACCAAACGGGAAGGAAAAGGATTGGGGATTAAAAGAACCGGGCTGGTTTTTCGGTTGAACCGAAACTCTAGCTGTTTTTGTGTGGTTCCATCTGGTGGTCGTGGTGGTGGTTTCAGCATTTGGAGAGGGCCATATACAACTCGGCGAATTCAGGGCATTGTAGAGTATTGTACCACATTTGAAAAGAGGTGAAGAGGCTGGACTGTGACTCGACGAGCACTGGATCAAATACCTAAAATTGAAAAAAAAAAAAAATTGAAGTGCTATGCTAACTCTGGACCGGACCAGAGAGGAAAGGTTAAGGAAGGCTGGACCGTGACTGGGTTGTCTCCTTGGATCTGCTACTGCCCACATAAGTATATATTTCGTAGCAGGTTTGAACATTTTAATTTCAATAGTGAATCTGAACAAACTCATAATTTTGTGAAGGTGTTAACTCATGATCATGCATCCGAGTTTTAAAATTTCGATCGATGAAGCGTCGAGCTTTCTTCGAGAAATATCTGGTTTGTGTTATCTGCAATTGCATCAAAAGTTAGTAACCAAAATTTTCTTTTTCTAGTGTGCGCCGATAATTGTAGTTATTGTGGTTTGGTTAACTACACCCACTTGTAGTCATTGAAATATCCAATAACGTTCATTTCAGGATGTTTAGGTTAAGTTACTAGGAAACTTCTTTGCTTTTTCTATCTTTTCGTTGATAATTCTTCTTCATCTTCTTGCTATTTGTCACTTTACTCACTTCTCTTATTGATAAACAATTTATTACTTCTTTTCTCACTTCCGGAATTAAAAATGTGTGTATTGGTTGTTGGGTCTATTCATCTTTTGGGTGGACAGCAAATGATAGGGTGGAATGCGTCTAAGGTTCCTGTATAGACTTTTTCTGAATGATGATTGATGATGATGATAGACTGTATTTGTCACATATCCAGCTACTCTTTTCATCTCCCAAATTATTGTATTGCATAGCTCCATGCCAGTCAAGATTAAAAAATTAAAATAATAATGTATAAATAAAATATATAGGAATTATGAATTAAAAAGACAAAGAAGGTAGTTGAAGGGGTGATTCGAATGAAAGATATGGCTAGTAATCGACTCGGTTTAATCGAAATAATCAATCGGTTAATCGACAACCAAAACAAGCTGAGATTGCCAATCAAGATTGGCATCTCGATCGTCTTACAAATTAGCCAAAATCGAAAATTGATAAGATCGATTTGATTGAATGTTTAACCGTCATCAAGATCAATGCCATAAAACTTGTCGCCTCTCGGTCATTCAATTGGATGTGTATCACGAAGGCGATCCTAGTGAGGAGGGTCTTAAAAGAAACCATCCACAATGAGTTGGGCAGCAACTTCTATGGGATGAAGTCGTGACCTAGTGAAGGAAAATGAACGGGAGGCAACATCGGAGTTCTTTGGATCGGGGAGAATGAGAATCAAGCTCGACTTCGATGTTCTTTAGGTGAGGGAGAATTAGAGTCGGGATTTTGGTCTGTTGTATGAATCATTAACTTGTTTTCTTGAGAGACATATTCTCTCTGGGAGACATTTATTCTCTTGTTTTCTTCTATAGCTCACCTATATTTAGAAATATGCAATACAATAATTTAGGAGAAAAGAAATTCTTATAGTGTAAAATAATTCCTCAATTTCAACATAATTTCAACAGAAGCAGCAGCAACTAACACTATTATTGTTTAAAAATTCAGAGCTAATTTTCAAAACTATATTTATGATAGTCAACAACGAAACTGATACGTAGCTTATTGTTTAAAAATCAGAGCTTAATTTCAACACAAGAAAACTCATACGTAGCTTATTTTCTAATCTACATTTATGATATATATCATCAATTTTCTTCACCATAGCTTTTGTTTCAGTCGAGACTAAGTCATATATATTAATATAACATACCAACCACTTTATATTTGTAGAAAATATCGTAGCATGTTACTACATGGACAACTATGATTCTTGTTTGAGGTATTAAAGAAAAATCAACAATTGGTTAAGTATCCACCATTACACGTATAATATAAAAATATTTTTCTTTCAATGTAGATATCACATTGATTAACGCAAATATTCCAACCCCGTAAAGTGGTAATTTTGGTATATGTTGGGTAAATATGAGTAAACCTATGGGGGACATGGGCTCAAGAGACTTAATTGGGCCTGGGTCCAATCAAGGGCATGAATGACAAAGCAAGAGTTGGGCCCAAATGCGGAGGAGCGGGCGCATAACGACAAAATAAACGCGGGGACCATGTTGCTATGAGACCAAGAGGCTGAGGGCGTGCCACCTGGAAGTGTGGTCCTGCCAGGCGCCTGAGCATCGGGGTCTGGGAGCAGCCACGTGTAGGTGCCCGACCGTTGGACCGTACTAGGCATTTAATGATGCGCTGACGTGGAGCTGGAATCTAGGAGCCTGGTCGGGACCTCGTCGAGTATAAATAGTACTCGGTAGGTAGCATTTAAGCAGGTTGGCTTCTCTCACTAAAAGCTTTTGGATTACTTCTCTCTCTAAAAACAGACTCTGGCCTGAGCGTCGGAGTGCTAACGGGCTATTCAAGCCCCCTAGGCGTCTGCCTGTGCAGGATCTGTGCGCCTAGTCCCAAGGGCAATCCCGGAAAGAGTAGAGTCGAGGCTCGGAGCAACTTGGCATCAACAATTGGCGCGCCAGATAGGGGGTGAATCGACATTGGGCGCATGGAGAACTTAAATGAAGGGAATGGAGAGGAGGACGCTACGAGATCTGAGAATTCCCACATGGAGACGGTGAGCGTCAGTCGAGTCCTGAGACGCCTATGGATGTGGAAGGAGAGGCTAGCCATGGGCGCCTGTCACCGGGGGAGGACGAGTCCTTAACGAAAAGAGAATTGTTTCGAATCATTGCTGGTCAGGATAGGGCCATTGCGGCGCTTCGGAGGGAGATAGAAGGGGGGGGGGGAGTGAAGACGTGATGACGTATAGTTCGGGGATCCGAAATCGTGAGAGGGCGAATGAAGACTTGGAGTCCCTGCAGTACGGGCTTCCGCATCATGCTGATTTAGGCGCCGCCTCGGGGCGCCCACGCGCCTGGAGACAGCAAGCCCCACCACATGCGAACGAATTTGAAGAACCCAATGCATGGGCGCCTAGGAGTCTTGAAAGGCGCTTTGGCGTGCGACAACCGCTTGCGCGAAGTATTTTGATGGAGCCAGCTGGAACAACGATACCACCATTGCCAAGCTATGATGGGGTGGCAGACCCGGAAGACCATTTGAATAGCTACTTCACCAAGATGCAGTTGTACAATAGCTCGGATGCTACGTTGTGAAAGGTGTTCCTGTCCACATTCGCGGGAGTGGTTTTGGACTGGTATCACCAAATCGAAGAAGGGCGCATTGAATGCTTCGAGCAATTTGCTGAGTTGTTCTTGTCTAAGTTCGCTAGCCGGAAACGTCGGACGCTGACCATAGGCGCCTTATTCAAAGTGAAGCAAAGGGAGGGAGAAGCGCTCAGGGAGTTCTACGACCGTTGGATTTCGGTCGCCATGGCGGTCAAAGATGTACAACCCGCGGTGCTGGGAGTTTGCCTAGATGCCTGCACCACCAGTGAAGAGCTGTGTCGAGTCCTCTCAAAACGAGATGTGGTGTCCACTGAAGATTTGGATCGAAGGGTGCAAAAAGTAATCATGCTGGAAGAAACGTTGGCTGCGCGCAGAGCCGAAAAGAGGCGCTTGAGAAGTGACGACATAGAAGGAAGACAAGCGCCTAGGCCGACGATGAGAAACAGCATGCCTCAAAGAAGACCAGATATGCAGCGCCCAACGCCAAGGGCAACGGGAAGCTTCACGGAATACAATGATACGCTGAAGAACGTCTTGCAGTATGTCAATGAGAGGGGGTATCACATACGATGGCCCGGGCCGATGCGTGGACAACCAAACGAGAAAAACCTTGATCGGTATTGTGATTTCCATCGAGACAAAGGGCATTACACAGCCGATTGCTATCAACTGAAGGCCGAGCTCCAAACCTTGGCCGATAAAGGAATGCTCAACGATTTCATTAGAAGGGGGGAGGAAAGAACTCATCGCACTTACGCGGCGAGAATGGCGGGACATGCACCGGTCACACGTCGAATTGGAGGTGTCTGGGACACCAAGGGCGCCCAAGGTCCAAGAAGCGCCTGGAAGGGCGGTGACGCAACAGGCGCCTGAGATACCCCCACCTCCTTTTGAGGTGGACCAAGATGGCGACCCCAACCGCGAGAGACTCACGGTAGAATCGATTACCGGCACCCTTGATTTGAGGGATAAGCTGGAGAGGACTAGGCGCCTAAGAGCTGCATCGGTGGAAGCAAAGGCAGCGGTGCAAATACACTTCAACCAAGAACCTGATGAGGCATGCCAAGTTCCGTCAGAAGAGGCATTGGAGATACAAGGGGTGATAGCGGGATGCAAGGTGAAGAGAATGTTGGTGGACACGGGAAGTTCAATGGATGTCTTTTTCCAAAGTACGTTTGAACGCATGCAGTTGGCGCCGGAGTTGGTAAGGCCTTCGAGCTCGGTGTTGATAGGATTTTCGGGGGCGCCCGCCCAGGTCATCGGCCGGGTACGACTCCCCGTGACTCTAGGTGATGAGGCGCATTGTGTGACTCACTCGGTGGAGTTTGGCATCGTGGATTGTCCTTCCCCATACAATGTTATCCTGGGGCGCCCCCTTTTGGCGCAATTCAATGGGGTGGCTTCCACGTGTCACCAATCATTGAAGTTCGTGGCGCCGCAGGGCATTGGCATCTCGCGAGGAAGGAACGCCCCGCGCTATGCACGAGAGGTGGAGCGAGGCGCTCGGCGACATAGATTGAATATCATTGACATTCGACCTGAAGAGGCGCCCAGAGCCGAATCTGTGGACGGAGAATTGGTTATAGCACTTGATGAAAGGCGCCCGGAACGACAAGTAAGAATATCCGAGCAAGCCCCCGAAGACATGAGGGTACCATTGATCGAGTTATTGCGCGAGTTCGGAGAGTTGTTCGCTTGGAGCGCGCAAGACATGCCTGGTGTGTCACCTGAGACGGCGATGCATAGGCTAGCTGTGGAGGAGGACAAAAAGCCAGTTCAACAAAAACGTCGGAATTTGACCCAAGAAAAGGAAGAAGCGCTCCGTCGCGAGGTGGATAGGTTGCTGGAGGCAGGGTTTGTGGAGGAAGCAAGATACATCACTTGGCTTTCCAACGTCGTGTTTGTCCCAAAGCCGGCGGGAGATTGGAGGATGTGTGTGGATTTTACCAACCTTAACCGGGCATGCCCCACGGATGCTTATCCCATGCCACGTATCGACCTGCTTGTAGATGCGACAGCCTATCACGAGGCGCTTAGCTTCCTAGATATGTTCTCGGGTTACCATCAAATTTCCATGGCAGAGGAGGATAGGGCAAAGACAGCTTTCATGACACCCTTTGGTAAATTCTGTTACAAAGTGATGGCATTTGGACTTAAGAATGCGGGGGCAACTTACCAGAGAATGGTCAACCAAGTCTTCCGAAAAGCAGCTAGGAAGAAACGTGGAGGCATATGTGGACGATCTGATTGGAAGAGCAAGAGGCGCCTGGACCACATCCAGGACCTTCGAGAGACTTTCGAGACCATGCGCCACTTCAAGCTAAGGCTCAATCCCAAGAAGTGCGTGTTTCTAGCAGAAGCGGGGAAGTTCTTGGGATTCATGATAACAAGGAGGGGGATCGAGGCTAATCCCAAGCAAGTCGAGGCGATATTGAACTTGGCGCCCCCTCGAACGTCGAAGGAGGTGCAAGGTTTGACCAGATGATTGGACGCACTTGGGCG